GAGCAACACGGGTCGCCCGTGACACGCGTGACGAGTCCGCAACACGACGGAGACGTTACTCAAGTACAGAGTTATTTTAATTAATATTTTCCCCACCCTCCCGCGCCAGCTTAAAATGTTGTTGACGTTCCTCCAGTTTTGCGCGTGAATGATTTTGTTGTGCGGATTTCTTTTTTTCAAACTTGCCCGCCCTCCTTCCTACATGAACACGGCCTTAATCACGACGACGACGACGATTATTATCATTACGAGTTTCAACTCTCGAAGTATTATCAGCAGCCTGCGACAGGTGGAACTGTCCCGATGCTTTTAGGCCTTCAGCTCGCTGTGGTACCAACGGGTGACGGACGACACGAGGGATGCCCCCCCCTTTGTTACATCAACAACGTAACGCGTTCGTCAAACAAGGCGGGCTCGGGCGACGCGATGGCGGTGGCAGCGGCAGGGTGAATGGAACGGCCAGGGAAGTGGATTAGAAACTCGGGGCGGTATTGCTAATCTATTTGAAAATGGGATAGAGGAGGCAGACGGGAACGGATCGGGGTGTTTTGTTGAGTGTCTCAAATGACCTGGACACAGCGAGTGCCGGAATCAGCTGAGAGCGCCGTCCCGGATTAACTACTTTCAAAATAAATAACAACGAAGCCTTGGTATTTTGGGATCTGTACAATTTCGTGACCCCCCCCCCCACACACAGCGATGGATCGTCACGGTCTGCGGCGGACAAGACTTCACTCGACAATCCGCGGTTCGCTTTTTGTCTCGTTGATCAGCGTTTCGTCTGCATCGATTTTTGGGAGTTTTGTTTGTGCCTCGCGCGCGTTTCACAGTTTTGTCCGCTCCGCAAAGCAGAACCTTCGGCGCATCGTTTTTGTTGTAATTGTCTGCCAATAATTAGCAGCGATTGTTAATATAATCGATAGTCCGCACTCGCGACGCGATATGCACGTGTCTGCAAGCGCAATGATTTATTTGAATCGATAATTCGCTGCACATCCCTGAAACTATTTTCTGTTATAAAAATATTTACTCTTTTACACGTTCGTCGACGGTAAATATTTTTGTCAATATTTTCAACGCAGAGTTAACGCGCAAATTACTCATCTCAAACTCCTGCGAGTGCAAGGGGTGGAATAACTTTGCCTTGCTAAGGGGCCGAATAAGACTTTCAGATACCTCTGTTGGGCATAAACAAAGACAAAGATCCCCCCCTCCCCTATAACCTTAACAGACCACCGGGGCAAGTGTTGTTCACGAGCACCTATGAAGGCCGACACGGCACACGAGGGTGCGATTATGGCACGGAATCACGCCTAAAGACCGCCTTTGTCTCCCTCATGGTGATGTTCACACACTGCACCAGGTCCTCGTTTAAGGTCGAGTCAACCTCGGCGAGGCACATAACCGGTTCGGATAATCGTCACCGACGTTGGCCGTGAGCCGGGAATGGATCTTAGCTCGCCAGGTCGTACGATACAGTTTATTTTGGGCAAGGCTCATAAAGCAGAGAAGCTCTTTTTCGATGGTGACCCGGCCAAAATGGCTGAGCATACTACAAGGGGAGGGAGGGTTTTACAGGGGCTGCACAGGACACAAGCAGAGTAATTGTATAAACATGGCGAATACATAATGAATAACAATAAGCTGTAGTAATAATAACAAGAAAATAATAAACAACGAGTATTATGCAGAATATAAATGTTGTAGGAAGCTGTCCAAAATAACGTTACACGCATGACGCGAGCGAGAGAAGCTGGCGTACGGCTATTTAAAACGGTATTTATTATGACGGCGAGATTTGCAACCGCCGTTGATGAAAGTAAAACAATTATAACACTTCGATGAAGGTTTCCGCCGCCCAGCCATCAACAGGAGCGGCAGGCAGGGCCGTGAGAGGTTTACACTTCAACTCGTGCAAAAGTTTAACCGTTCGTTTTAATAAAAAACATATATATATTTATTTTGTGTGTGTGAAAAGATAGATCTTGACGTTCAAGCCGACGAACTTTGCTCTCAAGTAAACGTATAAATAATTAATCACGAGGAATGACGACGGGTTTTCTTTTTATCTCGACCAACATTTGGCCAAGTGGCCTTCTCCTTTGTCAAACAGTAAATTTACTCCTGCTGACGGCATAAAAATAACTGATAATCTATATAAAAAAAAGTCTAAATTTGTGTGTGGGTTTGTGTGTGTTCGCACACTTTGCGAAGGATTTGCCTCTCCAACGGTGGGGTATACGTAAAATAAAAATAGCCAGGTACCACGCCGTAAGTCCTGCTGTGAGCAAGCGCTATTCATTTTTCACATCCGTCAACTTTAAATTAGTTTAATTAGCGATTTTGTGCAATTTCTGTGCACCGGCGTATTATTTATTTCTTTGTTTGTTATGACGCGCGCACGACCGTACCAACTCACGCGCCTTTCGTGGGGGGGGGGGGGGGGGGGTGGCCCATGCCAAGTCGCACGCCTTCGGTGGGAGTGAGGGGGACATTTTCTTTCGCGTTAAAAACGCTATAAAAATACACTAAACGCTCAGGTAAATTCTTCACTGTGTAATGTCCCCCCCAACCTGATGCATGCAGTTACTACTATACAGTCGGTAGATGCTACCACTATAGACCGTAGATATTTCTGCAGAGCGGCTGGGGAGATCGTGGCTGGGGGGATGGTCAGGGGTAGCAGCCCAGCCCCAACCTGCCAAGGTGCCACCTCGGCCGGCTGGACAATCTAAGCGAGGCCGAAGGCTCTGCACGGGACTAAGCCTCACCACGCCACTGTCAGGCGAGTGCTTTGTGCTATAGAGTCGATAAATACTGCTATAGAGTCAGCATGTACTACTGTAGTGATAGCAGGTACCCCCACAGTCAGTATGCACTGCTGTTAGATTTTTAAAAGTAGTTTTGACATATTTTTTTGGCCTGGGCAATGCCAGGTATATAAGCTAGTATATATAAAATTAACCTATTGACCCCCGTTTATCTGCGACCTAATCACGCTAAGCGGCGCCCGATCCCGTCAAGACCTCGGGGAAGCCAAGCAGGGCCGAGAGATGGCTGACCGCCGTGCATAACCAGTGTTATAGGCTGCTGCGAGTGGTGGGGGGGGGGGGGCTACGTACGGTGTGGGAAGGAAAATCCATCGTTGCGCTGCACTATGCCGCGGGCACTTGGCCAGCGTGGCACTTCGGACTCTCGTAGCCCGCACAGAAGCTCTCGGGCGTGACGAGATCGTGAGAGGCACGGGGGTTGGGGGGGGGGGCAGCCCCGCAACTGCCTGCTCACGCCGCTGCTGGCGGAAGTGCATCGTACTGGACATCTGTGAAAAATAACTTTTTCACAGATACTCGAATTGTAAATGTTGTTGCGGGGTTACTTGGCCTACTCTTCCGCGCTGGCCAAACGTCGTGAAAGAGGTGGGAGTCGTGATTACGCTGGGGAGCCGGACATAGCTCCGTACATCCGGTCACCTACACGTGCTGGAACGACAACTCATGCGCTCCCACACTACATGCCCATGTGCAACGGCGTTGTGGGCAGCGGTGGTTGTAGCGGTTGGCGCTACGAACCCGGCGACCCCGAGTTCGACTTCCGCTCACGACCCAACGACAGCGGGTGTCTGGTTGGATAGAGGTTACAGCTGGCTAGCGTGGTCAGGCTTACCACTTATGGCTGGTATCTAGTTTTTCAGAGGCGACCTGGCCACAAATGACAGCTCAACAAAGTGGCTTGTCACGTATAAATTTACAGCAGCCTATACGTACGTTGATGCTAACCGTGGAAGGGAAAAACCGGAGGACCCGGAGAAAAATCCACGTGACCACGGGGGAGAGAGCAGCAGGCGTCAGGGTTGGGATCGAACCGACGACCTCCTGCATACCAGGCGAGGTCGTTAACATCTCCTAGCCATCGTGATGATGATGATGAGAGAGAGAGACACGCAAACTCCAAATATACAATGGGCGTCAAGGGTCGGGATCGAACCCACGCCCTCCTGTCTTGCCAGGAGGTCGTGGGTCAGTTTAACTCAAGCGAGACACTCGTAGGGTTAGTGTCTAGTTGGCTCGTGCGGTGAGGACCAGTGTCAAGGTCGCACTGACGAGCTGGTTTGGAGCTGGGGGTAGAACCCGTGTATTACACCCCCCCGCCATCGCCGAGTCTAAATTAAACAAATCATTTGGTGGCGATGCTGCTGTTGCTGCTGCGTTGGCAAATGGTGCACAAACGCATGTAACAAAGAGAAAAAAAACGCGAAACGCACTCGTCAACAACGCCGGCGGCCTTCAAAGAGAAAGAACAAAAACAAACATGTGATCGGCGACGTTTCGGGCGACGGCCCTTCGTCATGGCACTCAAATCCATCGCCACGTCGGACCCTTTTCCCTTGATTTCCGTGTCAGTTCCCGCGACACACCCTTCAAGCGAGTCACACACGAGTCTCGTACGCGGCGAGCGGCCAGAACCCCCTGACCTTCGCAGCTGCGTTATGAACTTGTGCCAGCGACGGGGTGCGATGGGGGTGGGTGGGGGGCACGGGGGGCTAGGGGGGCACGGGGGAGACGGGGGAGGGGGCAACACGACTCAGACAACGTTAAACAAACTTTAAACAAACACAACGACGTACGATGAGTCTCGATACAACACTGCTCCCACTCTCACCCCGCACGTGTGTGTGCGTGCGTGTGCGCGCGTGTGCGCGTGTGTGCGTGTGTGTGCGCGTGTGTGTGCGCGTGTGCGTGCGCGCGTGTGTGCGCGTTTGCGTGCGCGCGTGTACGTCGTCGCAGGGAACAGCTGAAGGAAAACCGCCCACCAGGCGGTTTCACATTCCGCCGACGGTCACCGGACTTGACCAAGCTTCTTGCAAGACGGAGCTCTCGGCCCGCCCCCGCCCCCCTACTGCAGATGAAGCTTCGCGGTCGACCGTAAGGAAGGAGGACGACGATCGCGGAGGGGAACGAGAGAGAGGAGGGGGGGGGGCGGGCGCGGGGCAAGGCACTCACCATCTTGGCCTCGGAGTGGTTGTGCGGAGGGGTCGGCGGGCACGCAGAGTTCATGTGGGCGCCGTGCATCCCCGGCACGTTCTGCATCATCCCCACTCCTCGGTTCATCTGCATCGCAGCGAGACGACAATGGGCAAAGCTTCGTACGAACGACGTCGAAACCAACGCGGCTTTAATCCCCGCTTGGCAGCCCTGAGACTGACCATAGCGGAGGGGGGGGGTGGGAATCAACATTCCAAACCCACAAACGTCAACAATTGGGGGGGTTTCTCTTGATCGCGACCGCCACGCGGCCACCACGCGACCGCCACAACACCTGTGCCCGGAGCAGCGTGCGCTCTACGCGGTGCCGCTGTGGGTTTAATTGCACGGCGTGACACCGAATCGCCGGGTTTAGCAATTCAATAATTGAGCCGCGACTGTGCAAGATGTGCACTTCTGTTGGCCTGCACCTAAATACCCCCCTATCCCATCCCCCCTCCCTCCTATCCCATCACCCCCCACCCCTCCGTCCCGTCCCCCAACCCCATCATCATCACGGTCCATGGGTAGTCCACTGCACATTTCGTCATTTGTTTCCACCCTCATCTGTCTTGTAGTGCGCCAATGTGCTCAAGTAGTGGCCACATCTTTCTGGCACCAAGCTCTTACGATGTTGTCGTCAACCCGTTCTCTGTTCGGTCTTCCTCTCTTTTTGGTGCCTTCCATTTTTCGGAATAACAAAAACACCACATTTTTTATTTTCTTGTCGTTGTCCATCCTATATATATACATGCGTACAAATAGTGCCCAGTTTCCTTTTCGTCACTGCCTGCATCATCAGGTCCTTCTTCTATGTGCCACCTTTTTCTTTTCACTTCTACGTCGCTCACTCTTTGGGTCCAGCTTACGTGCAGTAATCCTTCTGTAGCAGTACATTTCGAACGCCAAAATCTTGTCCCAGTCGGTCGTTTTTCAAATTTCCAGGTCTCGCAGGCATACGAAGCTGCACTCAACACGCTACCTTGCCCAATTAGACACAACGCGTGACACGTGTGCGCTGTGAATGCGGTTCTTCGTTAACATGAACCTGGCTTCATGAAGTCGGCGTTCACAGTCGGGTTGCCACCTGCCCAGCTGTGACCAGGACAGTCCAGAAATTGGCCTCTGCGTTCGGTCGGGTGGCAGGAATTGATTTAGCGCTCCGATCGTTTATTTTTTTTTCATTGTTTGTTTTTGTTGTAACTCGCTGACGAGCCCGCCCATACTGGACATCTTGTTGAAAAATAAAAAATAAAAAAGCTTCATAGGCTCATTGGATTCCTCCCCACGGTCTAAATAACGGTTCCGATTCACGACAGATTCCGATTCTGATTTGTACCGTGAGCTGGTGACCGACCGGTCCCCGTGTTGGACTTCCAATCGCGATAAGAGCGGCAGCGCGGCCCCCGTCCATCGCAGACCGAGCGCCCACCGAGAAATTGCGCTTCCGGATATTTTTTTTTTGGGACCGCAGTGGAGAAGGTGGCAACTCGTCGTTGGCAAAAACAACACGCAACTAACGGCAGGAAGTTAAATATTAGGTTCGTCAGCTTCATTTTATTTGACTGGAATAATTGTAATCATTGCGAATAATTATACTCTTACAGAGGGGGGTGGCAGTGGGCGGGGCTTTGGGCCACTTCAAACCGGCATGTGGGCTCTCCGATGTGTTTTCAGTCTGTACCGCGCGCGCCGTTCTGGTACGATGTCCGACGTTTCGCGCCACCCGCCTGGCGCATCGGCCAGACACTGCAAAAGCTCCAAGCGGCTGGAGCGAAACGTCGGACGTCGTGCCGAACGACACTCGGTTACCACCATCATCAGCAGCAGCAGCAAAAGGCTAATCCCACCACTGGATGAAAGCTACCGGCGCCGGCCACCGCTCGCTAAGACGCTGCGATCCACCCGGCACCTGCTCCATCTCCTCCCTCGAGCGAGAGACCGTCCCGTCCGGTCGCCGCCACGTTCCATCCCCCGGCCGTCGTCTGTTCCCCTCTTCTCCCCATGACCGTGCCCTGCCCAAGCCGCTCCCCGCCGATTGCGTTTCTAGAACACTCCGGGTGATGTCACCGCGACCCACCCCCCCCCCGGAATGATGTCACCACGACGGCGGAGAGTCGGGGAGGCCGCTGGTGGGGCACGGCCGGCCAAAAACCCAACGCAGCGAGAGACGCGTGCGTCCGCCGTTGCGTTTAAGCGAAAGCGCGGATGGGCGGGCGGGCGGGCGCTACGTACTTTTCCCTTCGCTCACAGCTCCTCAAGAAAAAAAAAATCGGTTTCCTGTTACGACGAGCGGTCCCAAAACGCTACGCTTTGGAGAATTCAGAGGTGTCTCGTTTTACCAGCCTCCCCCCCCGCCCCGGCTGCCCCCCCCCCTACCCCCCTCCAACATCCCAGATCACCTCTCCCTTCCCTGCACCACAGACGCTCTCCGCTTTCTTGACGCTGCTGCGGCTGCTGCTGCTGTAGCTGCTGCTGCTGTAGCTGCTGCTGCTGCAGCTGCTACTGCTGTAGCTGCTGTAGCTGCTGCTGCTGCTGCAGCTGCTGCTGTAGCTACTGCTGTAGCTGCTGTAGCTGTAGCTGCTGCTGCGGCTGTAGCTGCTGCTGTAGCTACTGCTGTAGCTGCTGTAGCTGTAGCTGCTGCAGCTGCTGCGGCTGTAGCTGCTGCTGCTGTAGCTGCTGTAGCTGTAGCTGCTGCTGTAGCTGCTGTAGCTGCTGCTGCGGCTACTGCTGCTGTAGCTGCTGCTGCTGCTGCTGTAGTTTCTGCTGCTGCAGCTGCTGCTGCGGCTGCTACTGCTATAGCTGCTGATGTAGCTGCTGTAGATGCTGATGTAGCTGCTACTGCTGTAGATGCTGCTGCTGCAGCTGCTGCTACTGCTGCTGTAGCTGCTGCTGTAGCTGCTGCTACTGCATAAGCTGCTGCTGCAGCTGCTGTAGATGCTGCTGCTGCTACTGCCGTTTCCAGCAGGCAACGGACTCCCGTCTAGCAAAGTCTCGGCGCGGGAGGAGACGGGACATGGCACATTTCAAACCGCGGTGATTTATGAGCCCTCTTCCCGAGGAGAGACCCGAGATCAAATTGCAACCAAAAAAAACACTCAAAGTCAACTCCTTGTGTTTGCCTCGCGTTCACGCCGGTAGTTTTCACCGTATCGGGCTGTTGGCTCGCCCAGTTTATTTATAAATTTCCCTCCTTACCTCGATTTGCTTTGCTCTGTGTGTGTGTGCCCATGCGTGCGTCTGTATGCAAGTGGGTTAAAATAAAAATATACAGTTCCCGGGCCTTCCCCCTAGGTCGACTCGGCCCTAAAAAGGCAGCACCTGGTGTGGGTGTGCAATAACACATCAGCACCGGGGAGACAAAGGCGGCCGGGGGGAGGGGAGGGAGGCGTGGTGGCGGCCACACCACACCACCGTTCACAGACGTGCCCGCTCGCGCTAACGCATGACACAGCGCTTGCCCCCCCCCCCATCCTGCCAGACGGCCCGTTAAAGGCTATACGGGGGATCTTTGTCTGTGTGGCCGCTCTCGGGATTTGTTTATTTATTTATTTACGCCGTGTGCAAGTGGTGCGCATTAGCCGGGGTGGGTCGCCTAATGCATGCCAGCTTCAGAGACGACAGCGCGTTGCTTGTGCAGGTGCGCGCGCGCGCGTGCCGTGTGCCACTGAACAAATGGGTGCAGTGTGGAGGGGCACGTGGGTTGCCCTGCGCCACCTTCAAAACTGGCAGGACCCCCCTCCCCACAATCAATCAGTCTTCTGGCTGTCCGTACAAAGGTGCCCCTGCTATTGGCAGTGTTGGTTGCGAGTATGGCAGTGTTGGTTGCGAGTATGGCAGTGTTGATTGCGAGTATGGCAGTGTTGGTTGCGAGTATGGCAGTGTTGATTGCGAGTATGGCAGTGTTGGTTGCGAGTATGGCAGTGTTGATTGCGAGTATGGCAGTGTTGGTTGCGAGTATGGCAGTGTTGGTTGCGAGTATGGCAGTGTTGGTTGCGAGTATGGCAGTGTTGGTTGCGAGCATGGCAGTGTTGGTTGCGAGTATGGCAGTGTTGGTTGCGAGTATGGCAGTGTTGGTTGCGAGTATGGCAGTGTTGGTTGCGAGTATGGCAGTGTTGGTTGCGAGTATGGCAGTGTTGGTTGCGAGTATGGCAGTGTTGGTTGCGAGTATGGCAGTGTTGGTTGCGAGTATGGCAGTGTTGGTTGCGAGTATGGCAGTGTTGGTTGCGAGTATGGCAGTGTTGGTTGCGAGTATGGCAGTGTTGGTTGCGAGTATGGCAGTGTTGGTTGCGAGTATGGCAGTGTTGGTTGCGAGCATGGCAGTGTTGGTTGTGAGCATGGCAGTGTTGGTTGCGAGTATGGCAGTGTTGGTTGCGAGTATGGCAGTGTTGGTTGCGAGCATGGCAGTGTTGGTTGCGAGCATGGCAGTGTTGGTTGCGAGTATGGCAGTGTTGGTTGCGAGTATGGCAGTGTTGGTTGCGAGTATGGCAGTGTTGGTTGCGAGTATGGCAGTGTTGGTTGCGAGCATGGCAGTGTTGGTTGTGAGCATGGCAGTGTTGGTTGCGAGCATGGCAGTGTTGGTTGCGAGTATGGCAGTGTTGGTTGCGAGTATGGCAGTGTTGGTTGCGAGTATGGCAGTGTTGGTTGCGAGTATGGCAGTGTTGGTTGCGAGAATGGCAGTGTTGGTTGCGAGCATGGCAGTGTTGGTTGCGAGTATGGCAGTGTTGGTTGTGAGTATGGCAGTGTTGGTTGCGAGTATGGCAGTGTTGGTTGCGAGTATGGCAGTGTTGGTTGCGAGTATGGCAGTGTTGGTTGCGAGTATGGCAGTGTTGGTTGCGAGTATGGCAGTGTTGGTTGCGAGTATGGCAGTGTTGGTTGCGAGTATGGCAGTGTTGGTTGCGAGTATGGCAGTGTTGGTTGCGAGCATGGCAGTGTTGGTTGCGAGTATGGCAGTGTTGGTTGCGAGTATGGCAGTGTTGGTTGCGAGCATGGCAGTGTTGGTTGCGAGTATGGCAGTGTTGGTTGCGAGTATGGCAGTGTTGGTTGCGAGTATGGCAGTGTTGGTTGCGAGTATGGCAGTGTTGGTT